CTCATTACTGTACAGAATATTACGGGTCAGGTTTTTAGCCGTTACGGGTCAGGTTTTAGCCAAGTACGTCTTAGCCAATCGATATCAAGACTTAAATCATGTGATGTTAATTAACCAATGATTACATTAGATCTATCACAAAGAAATAATTTTGGCGAGGAATGATTCTCGCCTTTCTGTTTACTAAAATCCACCTCCTCCAACTCCATCCTCCTCTTTCAATTTTTTGATGTTGATATAAATACCATTTCATTTATTCTTAATGAATCAGTTGTTTCACTTATTGTTTATCTCAATTATTTGTGCAACTATTCATGAGATACACTATATATATATAATATTATGTATATTGTTCATGCAAAGATTTATAAAACTAGTCGATGTTTTATTATCTCTTTCAAATATTTTTCTATTTGTTGTCATAAATACTTATGATCTAGTCATATGTTATACACTTTTTAATGTATAGAATGTTTAAACTATTTTCCAAGGATGGAGCCCTACATCAAGTGGTACTAGACACAAGATAAAAGGGCACAGGTTTCCAAACTATGGTTTTTCCTGGGCGAGTCGACCACGATTTGGAAAATATTTATTTTTTCTGGTCAATTGTTTTTGATCAGCAATCCATTTTATTATATTTATGTAGATGGTTTTTGGTTCAACTTTGTCATCTTACATAACTTTTGTTAAGATTGTAATCTATTTGAATTACATTACAATGTTATCATAATCTTGCGGTTTTTACCTCCCAGTTTGGTTATTTCGATACAAATATGTACATGTCATGTTTGTTATTATGTAACATTTGTCATGTTTGTTATTATGTAACATTTGTCATTTATGGCATTTAATAAATGCCCTATTTCATTCAACCTAAGTGTTGTGTTTTATCTCATACCAAACAAGTTCGTCTTGCCAGTTATATTTGCTTGACCTGGACAATACATAAATATATCAGTGATATAAAACTGGTAATTTCACTGTTTGAAACAGTGACATTACCACTTTGATAATTTCACTGTTTTGAATTTAAGCCCCTTACGTTGTTTCAGTGAAATACCAGCGTGCACAGAACTGGGTACCAACTTAATGACGTGACGTCGTAAATGACGTCACGTTGTATTATTATTTGGCGCGCTTTTCATTCAGTATAAGGTTAAATGTCTTTTTAAAACGTTTCTTTGCATGTAATAAAAAGAAAATTTGTTTAGTTTAGTGTAAGATTGAAAAATATTTCACCTTGTGAACACCAAAAGTTCAACTCGTGGCTGCGCCACTCGTGAAATATTCCTTTTGGTGCTCACTCGGTGAAATATATTCCGATCTTACACTGAACTAAACAAATATCCTCTATGTAAAAGGATTGGTAAGCGAACAGCATCGATCCTGATCAGACTGCGCGGAAGCGCAGGCTGGTCTGGATCCATGCTGGTCGCAAACCCATTATGTTGGTTTTGTCGTGACACGGCTCATTTATTTTTTGCCTCTAAGGGAGACAACTCCACAGACCATATCACAGTCATAAATACCCCCATTGAATGATTACGAAATACCATGGGGCGTTTTTGAATATCGACATTGATCATTCTTGTGCTTTTTATTACATACAGTTGAGTTCACACTAAAGGTTACACAAAGTGCACTAGGAGTGCACTAGATGTGCACTACTAGTGCACTACAAAGTGCACTAGTAGTGCACTACTAGTGCACTTCATAAGTGCACTTTGTATTGCACCAGACCTATTATATGTATTAAGCAGTTGCCTTTTATTTCACTGAATAGCAATTTGACTTTTACAAAAAGATAGAAAATATAGATATCTGTTTAATATTTTTCAATAAAAATTTGAAGTTGTGAATATTGGAATTTGTAAAATATGGCGTAAAATATTAGAACAATAAATTTCAAAGTCATTAATTTTACTGATTTTGTACTTTAAAATTTAATTGTTAGAATAAGTAATTTAAATATAAATAATTATAACTTTAATGTTGATAACTGCATAAATAAACAAACTTAATTGATATTTAATATGATTCTATTTTATTATAATCTGGTAATGAAATATGAAACATTGAAATGCTAATCAAACAAAATTAAATCAGTTCTTTTTTTTGGGGGGGGGGGGGGGGGGAATTATATACCGTAGTATTAGTTATTTTTAATCTTAACTTATGGTTGTTTTAGTTAAAGGTAATGATTTTAAGCATTAATAGCCTTTAATACATTAAAGAATTAATATGTTTATAATTGGCCTAAATTTTGTCAATTTTATTTCATTTATAATCTATCTTACCTTCTCAAACTGAGATTAACTTAAGATTAATATAAATGATATATAAATGATATATATTATTCTGAAAATAAATATTTATATTTAATGGTGGTATGTATTGATATATGTGGATTAAGTATTGATATGTACCTGCGGGATACTAGTATACTTAAACTGACATGGATATTAACAAAAAGATTAGAAAATCTGTCAATTCCATTTTTTGAGACGACACCAATCTTTTTTCCTTTTTTTTTTCATGCATTGTAACATTTTTATGCAATATGATTAATTTGATGAGTTTATTATAAATTGCAAAAATATTCATTTTTCTTTTTGTACTATTTGTAATGAAATTTATTTGCACCAACATCCAGAGAATACAGAATTTACATCGCCTAATCTGGCTTATGTTATTTACCCTGAGGGGCCCTTTTATCAGCAGGGTACTATATCAAAACAGCTATACACAGCATGACTTTTGACACTTTAATCTCCTGTAACTGTTTTCTGCTCATGTATGATATTAAATTAAAATAAAAAAAAAAATATAAAAAAAAAACAGAAAAAAAAAAAAAACAAAAAACAGATCTGCATTAAAGTGAAAAGGAAGTTGCAAAAGTTTTATAATCATGTATTTAAATAATATTTTCTTTAAAATATATTATTTTCTAAATGCGTAAAAACTGACAAGGCAAATTTGTCAAATCTATAATAGAAAAAAATAACATTTCCCAGTTCAAAAACTAAAAGAATTAAGATGCTGCAAATTTTAATGCAGAATTGCAAGAAATGTGAAAAAATATTGATACAAAGTCTTTGTAGAATAGTTAACTTTTAAACCAGTTTTTTTATAATATGATTAGAAAATCCCACTCCAAATACAATAAATGACAATAATATCTAACATGCGTTTATGACATTAAGATTATTTTTTACATTTGATTATACAAAAAGTATAGTCATTTATCGATGACTTACATGTATTTTGGGGGGAAAAGGGAAATTTTCAATAAATATTGCATACATTTGCATTTTTGTTATTTACCCTGAGGCCCTCTTATCAGCAGGAGACCAGTGTAATGAAAACAGTCGCCAATACACAGCATGACTCGAATCTTTCCTCTTGTATAAAAAACATTCCCTTTATACATTTCATTTTTAATGTAGAAATCTTGAATAAAGTTATCAAGTTTATTTATTTTATGGAAAATTTTTAATTATGTATATCTTTAAAAAGTATGCAAGCATTTTATGGTTGAAAAACATAATATCACAGTGTATAAAATGTTTTAAAATCAATGAATTAATATTCTCTTTCAATCTTGAACATGAGGAATTGCCTCTTAAGTTATATATTATCACAGATTTATATTAATAGTATATAGTAATATAAATCCGTGATATTATTATGCAGAATGGCAAGAAATGTGGATAAATGGATACATATAGAAAATTCCGCTTTAGAGACAATAATATCAGAGACATAGATAACATCTATCTATGTCTCTGATAATATCTATTATGCATTTATGCCTTTATGTTGTTTTTTTTTTTTGTATATTTGATTATACAAAAATTATGGTCATTTACTGAGTGCCAACGCCTGATGAATCCCAGGCTTATGTCTAACATGCATTTTGCGAAAACCAGAGAATTTCAATGCATTCTTATAAATCTGCAAAATTGACCTATCTTTGTTATTTACCCTGAGGCCCTCTTATCAGCAGGAGAGTGGTATATTGAAAACTGTCCCTCTCAGAAAATACCAATACACAGCACAACTTGAGATTTTCCTCTTCAATAAAAGTATTCCCTTTATACATTAAATCTTTAATATTGAAATAATGAATAAAGATATCAAATTTATTTATTTTATGGATAATATTTAAATTATTTGCATAAACATATGCAAGGATTACACAGTTGAATACTAAATTATCACAGTATATTGATTGTTTTGAAATCAATGTATTAATATTCTCTTTCAATATTGAACATGATGAATTGTCTCTAAGTTATATATTATAGAAATAATATTTTAGTTTAAATATAACCTTTCCTTGATTTGTTTGAGCTTATGAAAAAAAGTTTATGATGTAACAAACTAAATTAATTGGGCCAGAATTATCACATCGATTTATATCATTTGTACACTAGAAAAATTGAAATATATGGCCATTAAAAAAAAGCTTTAAAAACACTTATTTCATTATCCATTACGGAGCATAATTCAAATTTAACCTTATTAATTTTATAAATTTGATTTTAAGGGGTATTATTTTTCACTTACAGTTAAATACTGGTTTACAATAAATGGAAAAAAAAAACATTTTAATTTTAAGCTTCAACATGATTATCACCTAAAATGTTAAAACTGCTGATTTTAAAATTTACTTATTTATATTCATGAATAGGCCATATATATATTTTCCTATTTTTTTTTTCATACAGCAGCGTAACAATGGATGCCCCCCCCCCCCCCCCCACTTGATATACAATTACAATTATCCAATAAACCATTAAGGTGTCACCTTCCCTGGCCAGCCTGGTCATATGGTCTAGTGCACTAGAAGTGCACTTCTAGTGCACTTCTAGTTCAGCTCTAGTGCACTAGAAGTGCACAAGGGTGGGAAGTTTAGTGTGAACTCAACTGTATCTTTGAAGACCACCGGAGACCGTCGATTAATATCCCGCAACTTTTCGGCCCTTTCCGCCAGTATAGTATAGCCGATGACGTTCCGATTGAATTAACGCATGCGCTATAGTAATTTTAAGATGGCTGAGGTTAGCCCTGGTCAAACATTTCGCAAATTTTGAGGAAATTACGGTATACAGGTTGATCTATAGCTCGTTAAATTGAAATATTGTGCGTTGAATTAACTTTTTATTACATGATATATAGGTTTGAGACGGCATGTCTTATGTAAAATAAAACTAGATCTATTTTATATCTATTCTTAAACCGAAAGTAGAAAATAATTTATGAGTATATTTCCAACTGTTCCAAAGTTACATGTCAGATAAGTTTTATTTCAAGTGAAGTTGGCAAATTTGCAACAGTACATCATAAGCTCTAAGAGATTTTATAACCGACTGTATAAAACATAAAGTATAATACAAGTTCAGCTTACCAAAATTCCTTCTAGGCTAGGCCACTACTACAGTAGTCTAGATCTACTAGTCTACTGTAGGGCAACACTAATACCGCTCACTAAATTTATTTTCGTGTCTGGTCAATATCTCGCCTCTACTGGTCAGAGACCATCAACCGGATGTTACGTCATGGGTTTATGAACGACATAAATATATATATGTGCTCTAACTACGTTTATTATCTAAACTATATTATATGATACACGTGTTTACATATCAGTGTCCGCGATGGTAGTATATTAAGATCTAGGGAACTCTCTATTATAAAGGAGCTGTAAGCACCTAGAGTATCATGTTACAGTTTACTCATCATGCTACATCTTCCATCTTTTACAAAATTACTGTTATATTTAAAACATAATTTTATCATAAGTATAACCGCATAGATTATTTGAATAACGCTTAAATAAATTCAAGGAAGAAAAACTTTATATTAGATGATGATTACAGTAACATGTAGTTAATAAATGTTCATTATCATGAGTCGTTTACAACATGTACTAATCATGATTAATACTGTAAATTTCTTCATTACAAACAATCACTGTCTATTTACAAGTCTGTTACAGCACGTGGCTTCACCTTTCTGCCTGCGCGAGTGAAATAATTAGCATTATCCGGAGGATTCAAAACCACAGGCTGTTTATTGCTATCAGTACGCTCTGACCCTACGTTAATCATTCTGTCATTAACTGACATTTCAAGGCCAGAATTCAAAGCACCATGTGTCAATAAAGGCGATTCTTTAGATTTCAACAAATCTTTACGATTTCTGCGATATTGTTGTCCGTTTTCTGTTTCAACAATATAGGACCTATCGCTGTGATTTTTTATTACTACAGCGGGACTCCAGGACTTGTCTAGACGTTGAATTCTAGCGGAATCTCCAACATTTAAGGGAGACAGAGGTTTAGCATTTTTATCATAGTACTGCTTAGATTTGACCTTGGATTCTGCGATTTTTTGTTTGACTACATCAGGGGGCGGTACTCGTGGTATAAGGTTTTCCCTTACAGTGGGAAGGATAGAACGAAGTTGTCGTGATTGGACTAACTGCGCTGGACTGAAATTTCCTATATCAGCGAGAGGAGTTAGAACGATATTCTAAAAATCCTATTCTCGGATCAGAATTATCATCCTTTGCCTTTTTAAGTATACGTTTGGCAACTTTAACCATCGCCTCAGCCAAGCAATTTGTTTGGTTATGATATGGACTACATTTTACATGTACAAAATCCCATGACTTTGAAAACTCCTCAAATTCTTGACTAGAAAAACATGGACCCCCATCAGTGACTATTTTCTCACATATGCCCCAATGTGACATGATATCTTTCATGTGGGAAATAACAGTTGAACTTTTTATGTTCGAAAGTTCATGAACTATGGGATACCTAGAATAGTAATCGGACATGACCATGAAATTTTTCTCATTAAGTGAGAACAAGTCACACCCTGCAATTTGAAACGGATAGTCTGGGATTTCAGAGCTGATTAATGGCTCCTTCTGTTGCGATGACCTGTATTCCAGACAAATCTGACATTGATTTACCATTTCAATTATATCATTTGAAATTCCCGGCCAAAACATTATTGACCTTGCTCTACTAAGACATTTTTGCGCACCCAGATGACTGGAATGCAGCACCTTTAAACATTTCAGATCTGAGTGACCTGGGCATAACGATTTTTTCTCCTTTCATTATTAAACCATTAACCTCAGATAACTCATCCCTATAGTTCCAAAAGCCAGCAATTAACTGATGACAAGCCTTTTTGTACTTAGGCCAACCAAACTTTATTGTTTGTTGTAATGTACATAATTGTTCATCTTGTTTTGTGTGTAACCTGATTTCCTCAAGTTTTCTATCTGACACGGGTAAAGATGAGATAACCATGCAAACGTGTGCCTCAATACCCTCATTAAGTTCTGGGCTTGTTTCCGGACTGGCGTTTCTGCTAAGTCCATCTGCTAATGGGATTTTCTTACCGGACATGTGACGAAACTGAAACCTATATGGAGTTAATTTCAAGACTAAACGCTGCAACCTAGCAGGTATTGAATGCATAGGCTTTTTCAGCAATCCCTGTATAGGGAGATGGTTATTTTCTACAATGACATCACGGCCATAGCAGTACTGATGAAATTTCGTAAATCCAAAGACAATAGATAATAATTCTTTAGAAATTTGACCCATATTTCTCTGTGATTCAGTTAAGCTACGGGACGCAAATGCTATGGGACGTTTTTCCTGAAGGATTAGTGCCCCTAAAGATTTTGAAGAAGAATCAACTTGCAATGTCAAGGATTTGTTTGGGTCATAATAAGCTAAACATGTGTCCTTACAAATGACTTCTTTCATTTTTTCAAAGGAATCACTTTGAGGCCTTTGCATGTGAATATAGTGTCCTTATGCAATAACTCTCTCATAGGAGCGGTAATCTCTGATAAATTGTCAGAGACATAACGACTGAGATAATTAGCCATGCCTAATACCACCTGTAGTTCACTTTTTGATGTGGGTGGTCTCATATCCTTAATGGCCTCAATTTTGGCGGGATCGGCCTTTAAGCCTTCTGCAGTTAACACGTGACCAAAATAACTAATCTCGGTGAGACCTACTTCCAACTTTCTGGAATTGAAACAAATGCCTTTGTTTAAAGCACGTTCAAGGACAGCTACTAAATTTCGGTCATGACTTTCCTTCGTGGAACCCCATACACAAATATCATCAACAATTGTAGCTACCCCTTCGAGACCTATCAGTGCCTCTTCAAGGGCGCGAACCAAAAAATCACCTGATACGTTTAATCCGTATGGACATCGAAGATACCTGAAGACCCCCAATGGACTGTTAAATGCAGTCAAATATGACGACTCTTCAGATAACTGTATTGACCAGTAAGCACTAGTTAAGTCCAATTTAGTGAAATACTTTGCATTACCAAACTTATGTAATACGTCATCAAGTGTTTTGAGCGGGTAGGGTGTACGCTTAATTGCACTATTAAGCGAACGAGGGTCTAAACAAAGACGTTATATCGCCATTACTTTTTTCAGTAACAACTAAATTATTACACCATTCAGTGGGGTGTTGAAATCTTAGCAATTACTCCCATTTTTTCCATTCTTGTAAGTTCCTGTTTCACTTTATCTTGTAAAGCAACTGGAATCCTACGGGGAGGATGAACAACTGGTGTAGCATTTTGGGTCAACATGAATGTTACATTCCCCGGGGAGTAACCCTATGCCATCAAAAACCTGGGCATAATCCGTCAAAAGGGACTCTTTAGTAAGAAATGCCTCTTTATTTCTATGATTATAATCATTTTGTACAGAATGAGCAAATTCTATGAGCTTAAAGCCCAAGCACGACTCGCAACCTAATAGTGGTGGGGATTTCGTGTCTACGACATGAAACGTGACATTGTTTGCTTGACCTGAAACAGCATGAGAACAAGGGAGAGTGATTTGCCCTTTGCTATGCAAGGAATTGCCATTGTAGGCGGTCAATTTAGATGTGGGCTTTTCAAGTGGTGCCTTGATTCCTAAACCTTGAAAGGTAGATAATGGCAAAATGTTTACCTGAGAGCCAGTGTCTAACTTCATTTGCACAGCCTTTTTACTATTTCCAATTAATATTTCTGTAAACATCTGTCCATTTTTTAACTGTTACACAGTCAAGACTGTCCACATTTTCTACACAGTCAATGTATAATTCAGAACTTAAATTTGAAATTTCATTCACTGTTCTAGATTTACAAACATTGCTCCAGTGATTCCATTTTTTACAATTGTTACATTGTGTGCCTTTTGCTGGACAACGCTGCTTGTCAGTATGTTGATTTCCACACCTGTTACATTTTGTAATGTGTGAACGTTCCCCAATGCAACCTGGATTGCTTGATGTTTCTGTATATCGACCTGGATTCATCGATGAAGGGTTCCGAGACGAACGACCTTGGATGCCCGATGAACGGCTAGGCATCCGTCCCTTCGGTCTTGATACTGCATGTACCGGAGCACTTTCTTGGACGTTATTGAACATTTTTATTTGAGATGCAGCATATTCAAATTCTTGGCAAATTTTTGTTGCCTTGTCTAATTTCAGATCTTTCCCTACTTGCAAAAGCCTTTCTCTTAATTTCGAACATGACACGCCAAAAATAATTCTATCTCTGATCATGTCATCTTTCATTGTTCCAAAATCACACTCTGTAGCCTTGTTTTTAGCTCACCTGTCACAAAGTGACAGGGTGAGCTTTTGTGATCGCTTTTCGTCCGGCGTCCGTCCGTCCGTCGTCCGTCTGTCCGTAAACTTTTGCTTTAAATGACATCTCCTCATAAACCACTGAGCCAATTTCATCCAAACTTTACAGGAATGTTCCTTTGGTGGTCACCTTTAAAAATTGTTCAAAGAATTTAATTCCATGCAGAACTCTGGTTGCCATGGCAACCGAAAGAAAAATCTTTAAATATCTTCTTTTAAACAACCCTAAGAGCTAGAGCTTAGATATTTGGCATGAAACATCTTCTAGTGAGTGTCTACCAAGTTTGTTCAAATAAAAGCCCTGGGGTCAAAATTGGCCCCGCCCCAGGGGGTCATTGATTTTCCCTATATGCATATAGTAAAAACTTAAAAAATCTTCTTTTAAAGAACCCAAAGAGCTAGAGCTAAGATATTTGGCATGAAACATCTTCTAGTGAGTGTCTACCAAGTTTGTTCAAATTAAAGCCCTGGGGTCAAAATTGGCCCCGCCCCAGGGGGTCATTGATTTTCCTTATATGCATATAGTAAAAACTTAAAAAATCTTCTTTTAAAGAACCGTAAAGGCAAGAGCTTAGATATTTGGCATGAAACATCTTCTAGTGAGTGTCTACCAAGTTTGTTCAAATAAAAGCCCTGGGGTCAAAATTGGCTCCGCCCCAGGGGGTCATTGATTTTCCCTATATACATATAGTAAAAACTTAAAAAATCTTCTTTTAAAGAACCCAAAGAGCTAGAGCTAAGATATTTAGCATGAAACATCTTCTAGTGAGTGTCTACCAAGTTTGTTCAAATTAAAGCCCTGGGGTCAAAATTGGCCCCGCCCCGGGGGGTCATTGATTTTCCCTATATGCATATAGTAAAAACTTAAAAAATCTTCTTTTAAAGAACCATAAGAGCTAGAGCTTAGATATTTGGCATGAAATGTCTTCTAGTGAATGTCTACCAAGTTTGTTCAAATAAAAGCCCTGGGGTCAAAATTGACCCCGCCCCAGGGGGTCATAGATTTTCCCTATATGCATATAGTAAAAACTTAAAAAATCTTCTTTTAAAGAACCCAAAGAGCTAGAGCTAAGATATTTAGCATGAAACATCTTCTAATGAGTGTCTACCAAGTTTGTTCAAATAAAAGCCCTGGGGTCAAAATTGGCCCCGCCCCCGGGGGGTCTTTGATTTTCCCTATATGCATATAGTAAAAACTCAAAAAATCTTCTTTTAAAGAACTCAAAGAGCTATAGCTAAGATATTTAGCATGAAACATGTTCTAATGGGTGTCTACCAAGTATGTTCAAATAAAAGCCCTGGGGTCAAAACTGGCCCCGCCCGAGGGGGGGTCATTGATTTTCCTTATATGTATGTGTATAGCAAAAACTTAAAAATCTTCTTTGAAAAAACCCAAATAGCTAGAGTTTAGATATTAAGCATGAAACATCTTTAAGTAAATATCTACAAAGTTTGTTCAAATAAAAGTCCGGGGGTCAAAACTGGCCCTGCCCCAGGGGTGTCATTGTTTTTAACTATATGTGTATAGTAAAAACTTTAAAAATCTTCTTTTAAAAAACCCAATGAGCTAGAACTTAAATGTTTAGCATGAAACATCTTCTTATGGGTGTCTACCAAGTCTGTTCAAATAAACAAATAAAAGCCCTTGGGTAAAAATTGGCCCGGGGGTGGGGGGGGGGCTATATACAGGTGAGCGACCTCAGGGCCATCATGGCCCTCTTGTTTATTATTGTGATGAATTGTTCCATAGTTTTTTCGCCTTGTGTGATATTATTGAATTGATAGCGGCTAAATACTGGGTTAATTATCGGAGCGATGTGTTCTCGGACTTTTTGGAAGATCTTTTTTGTTTCTTTTCTATCAGCATTAGATAAATTGGCGGCTCTATATATTTCTCTTCCCTTGGCACCCATATAAAGCAATAGCATTGTAACATGGACATCTTCTTCTTGCTCTTTCAAGGGTCCTTTAAATACTAATTCACAGTGCTCTTGAAATTTTGCGAATTCTTCTACAAGATTGGTTGATGTCCAGTCCATTTGAGGTTGCGGGATACCACTTAAATTCATTTTTTTTATAATATTCCAGCACTTAAGGAAATGTTAATGTAATATTCCAACAAGAAGGAATTATAGTTAATTTCTGTCCTTTTTTTAAAGAATGTTTATTGCACATTTGTTAATATTCCGTCATTAGGAATGATTTACCTTTTTATATAATATTCTTTCCTTAGGAATTATAATTAAACTATTTAAAATATTCCGTCTTTAAGAATTATTATCTTTCCAGTTCTGACACCATGTTACGTCATGGGTTTATGAACGACATAAATATATATGTGCTCTAACTACGTTTATTATCTAAACTATATTATATGATACATGTGTTTACATATCAGTGTCCGCGATGGTAGTATATTAAGATCTAGGGAACTCTCTATTATAAAGGAGCTGTAAGCACCTAGAGTATCATGTTACAGTTTACTCATCATGCTACACCGGACACATTTTTAACATTTTTCCATAAAGATTTCATAATTTCATACCTAGAGACCTGAAAATTTGACACAGTACAGCTATGTTCTTCTCATATAACTAACAAACTAGTTTGACTATTTTTGATTATATTAACACTTATATCTGAGGCTCGTCAAGGAGGGTATCAAAATTACCTTAATTGTCTACACTACAGTACCATGTGTCCGGACAGATATGTACATGATGTGATTTAATTAATTGAAATGCTAGGGTGAAGGAAATTGAATGACATAAAATTAAGGGACAGGCAAGCCTTTATAATTCTACATACAAATTGCACAATTTCTATGGATGTCCAAAAATTGCTATTTTTGTTTGAGAATGTCAGATTTACAGACAAAGATATGACCAAATGAGTGACCAACTAAAAGTTGTAAAACATCATCTTCAGTAAATGATTTTAAAGAAAATAATACTAGATGAAGATAAATTAATACATATGAAATGCTTAACAATATTATTTTATTTTACAGAAATAAAGAAAAATTAAAGATGGCATATTCTTCTCGTCAAAAACATGCTGTATACCAGCAAGCCAAATCAGGTAATTATATATTTTTAGTACATAACCAAGCAAGCTGAATTTTAATGATTCACCTTCAGAGTTTGTGTAACGGATTTGCTTTGAATTAGAGACCATTAAAGTGGCCATAAAGTTTTTCTGAAAGTTAAATATGATATTTTTACATAAATTGTTTGATATAATTGTCATATCAAAGGAATTAAGGTGGATAATAAACTTTTGATTTCAAACATCAATTATGCGTTATAAATCTCTGGACACTTGTTTTGAAGAAGGCTGAACAGTGATATGATGCACTTATAAGATAAAATTACACAGAATTGTTTTTTCCAGAGAAAATAAAGCTAAAGGGGTTACAAGGAAAAAATATTAAAATTGAGCTAGCAACAGTATACTGTAGAGCATGTATAGTCTTCACAAGCATAAGTCAAATGTGCAGCCTGGCCTGGACTCGAACCCAGGAACTTCGGAATACCGTACCGCAGCTCTACGGACTGAGCTATCCGATGGTTCTCGCTCGGTCTCTTCAGCTGGACTCACCTTACAAAAATATTTCAAGAATTATCCCCCTTTTCACTTAAAATTTTTATGATCTTTCTTGTGTGTATGTCATATACTAGTAATTATATTGAAATTTCCCAATATTGCCCATATCATATGATGTATGACAAGGATCTTAACTCTTGCACCACTTTTTATGCTCCCCAAAAAATTTAGGGGGGGCATACAGTTGGCGCCTTGTCCGTCTGTCCGTCCGTCCGTTGTCTTGTCCGGAGCATAACTTGAAAACCGTTAGAGATCATTTGTTTAAACTTCATACAGTGGTAGAGGGCATTGGGGGGGAGTGCAATGTCAAAGAACCATAACTATTTTGCCCGGTTTTTGAATTATCTCCCCTTATAGAAAAATCTTGTCTGGGACATAACAGATATCAACATGAAACTTTGTAGGTGAATAGATCTCAATGGGTAGATGTGCAGTGCATAAGAACAAAAACTCTTTTTGTCCTAATTTTGGAGTTATTGCCCTTTGTTAATTTTAACACTTTGAACTTTGTCCGGAACATAACTCTAAAACTATAAGAGATATCAAAATGAAACATTGTAGGTAGATAGACCTTATTGAGTAGAAGTGCAGTGCAAAAGAACCATAACTCTGTTAAGCCTCATTTTTTAATAATCTCCCCTTTTAGAAAAATCTTGTCAAGGACATAGCTGTAAAACTATAAGAGATATCATCATGAAACTTTGTAGGTAGATATATCTCAATGTGTAGATGTGCAGTGCACAAGAATCATAACTCTGCCTTGCCTAATTCTGGAGTTATTGCCCTTTGTTTATTTTTACTTTTTGAAGTCCGGTACATAACTCGGAAACCATAAGAGATATCAACAAGAAACTTTGTAGGTTGATAGATGGCATTGGTTAGAAGTGCAGTGCAAAGAACAGCAACTCTGCCTTGCCTAGTTTTGGAATTATTGCACTTTGAACATTTTCCAGGGACATAACTCTGAAACTACAAGAGGTGTGCTTTCCTGTGTCCAAAACCTATTCGGGGAGCATCACCCGGCTCAAACCGGGCTCTTGTATAAATATGGTATAACTCTAATTTAACAAGGACTATATGCAAAAAACATTTTTATCTTCGGATACTTTATAGCCTGGAGCTTAGCTATATGAATTGTAGCATTGCTTAGTGGTGCTTGGAAACAGGAATATAGATTTGGGATTTGTTAATATCAGGGCTCTCATTAGCATTTTGAGACTGGCGCCAGGGTCCATGCAGGGGGGAATATTGCTTGATTTTCAAATATTTTTCATTCAAGGGGGAATTTTTTTTTCGGTAAGACTTGAAATTATGCGACATTTTGGAATGCTAAAAATTGTCCGGAACGTCTTATTTATATAACATACTAATTTCCGATTGCCGTTTGCGGAATACATACTAATTTCCAGTTGCCGTTTGGGGAATTTATATTTATGCCCGTTGAATATTAATTTCAAGGAGGTTTTTTTGGGGGTTTTAGGAGAAAAAAACACACTTTTGGTGGGGGAATGGGGCCGATATTCGGCCCCAAATTTTACCAAACAAGAGCCCTGAATATCGATATTAACAGTACTGATGTATTGTCAGTTTTTGTTGAGTCTGCTTGTGGAAAGCATGACATAGTTGTCACAATGGTGTTTCAGTGTATGTACATGGATCTGTCCGTCCATCTGGATCATACTTGTCCAGGTTGAAACTCTGTCATTTGTTGGCATAATTTCAAATAACTTAGCACAAATGTTAACAATAATGAGATAGAGTGCCATGCGCAAGAACCATGTGGCTAGGTCAAAGGTCATACTTAAATGTCAAATGAAACAGCTTGTCTGCAACATTACTCTATTACTAGCTGGTGGAATTTCAAATAACCTATGTTCAAAATCTTGAGATGGTCTGTCGCGCACAAGAACTGTTTGGCTAGGTCAAAAGTCAAGGTAATCAAATGCAAAAAAATCGTCTCAAACAGCTTGTCCTTACCATAACTTTATCACTAGTAGGTGGAATTTCAAATAACCTGGCACAAATATTCAACATCATAAGATGGCATGTATATTGCAAGATTTGTGAGGCTAGGTCAAAGTCAAAAGTCATTCTTAAATGTCAAATGCAAAAAAAAATGTACTGAAACAGCTTGTCTGCACCATAGCTTTATCACAAGTGGACAAAATTTCAAATAACCTTGCACAAATGTGACAGATAATCATGAGACGGCATGTTTTGTCAATAACAGTTTGACAAGGTCAAAGCTCAAGGTCATATGTGACTGCGGGCTCGACATGTTGCATTTGGGCATCTAGTTTTTTCTGTTGATCAAAGATCTTATTAAATAATTACAATGATATAATTTTCTTACCATATTTAAAAGTAATATAACTGTGCTTATTAATCAACATTATGTGTAAACCACTTCCATGTTGCATAATGATGTACTCTCCATTTTTCTGACTGTAAATAATATAAGTTTCAAAATTTGAGCCGCGCCATGACAAAACCAACATAATGAGTTTGCGACCAGCATGGATCCAGACCAGCCTGCACATTCGCGCAGTCTGGTCAGGATCCATGCTGTTTGGTATCAGTTTCTATACTTGTTATAGGGTTTGTTAGCGAACAGCATGGATCCTGATTAGACTGCGCGCATGCGCAGGCTTGTCTGGATCCATGCTGTTTGCAAACTCATTACGTTGGTTTTGTCATGGCGCGGCTCATAATACTTTTTCAATGACTGTCAGAGACTTGGTTTCTTTCATGTGAGATAGGTTTCCATTTAGCTTACAATATGTCAGTGGTTCTACTCAGGTGCCTGTTTGTGCTTGAAATAATGAATGGAGGGCACCTGAGGTCTTAATCCACTTATAAAGCTGGAACGTCATCATATGACCTAAAGAGTGTAGGTGAAAAGTACATTGTAAAACCCAACCAAAATAAAAAGAAAAACCAACAAATCAACAAAAAACATCTTCTTGATTACTTGATTAATTATACATTTTTTCTCTGTTTTTTTTTTTTACAGAATTGCAAACCAAGCTGATAGAAACATATGAAAAGACCCTCCTTCAAGTGCCTGTCATTCCGTTACCAGGAAGTCCAAATTGTCACTTCAATGATATATATGTTAGACCAACTATCACTAGAGAAATCAATGGCAAACGTGGAATGACTGAAGATATTGAAGTTACATCAATGTCGGAAATTTTTACAAAAGGCAAAGATCGGCAAAGATATATTTATCTTATTGGAGAAGCTGGTACTGGGAAAAGTTTTTTCTGTAGAAAATTGATAATGTTTTGGTGTATGGCACACAGTGAGACTCAATGTGTAGAAGATGAATTAGATGGTATAAAAGAAATGAAGAAATTTGATTTCTTATTTTACATCCCTTTGAGACGATTTCAACAGGTTATTTCAATTGAAGATATGCTTCTTAAGGAATACAATGCAGGAATTCTCAGACATCTTATTGATGAAGAGTCAGGTAAACTCCTCATATTGCTTGATGGCTTGGATGAATGGTTCCCTCACACGCAAACATACAATCAGTTCCAGACTGAAGGTCTGCCTCAAGTAGACTGCTTTAAGGACTACACCGTTATAACTACATCTCGGCCGTGGAAGATTCGAACTCTGGTCGTGTGTAAAAGTGACATGGACATAACATTAAAACTCAAAATTAATGAGAAACATGAACAGGAATTGTTGTACAGAACTTTATCTGTATTGAGCCAGAAATCAACAGGCCCTTGTAAAGATGTTAGTGCCTTTGAACAAAAGCTGGACAAGAAGCCTCTGGCAGGTTTAAAACAAGTCCCACTAATACTTCAACATTTAATATGCCTCTGGCTTAATGATGACCTCAATAGGTCCACAAGATGTTCTGTATATACTAGTATATTGGAACTTTTCTTTATCTGGAATGATAGTAAATTCAACAGGTAATGGAGAACAAAGAATGGAAGATGATTCCCCGCCTGTACATCTCCCTCAATATTTAGCAGATAAAAAGATATGTAAATTAAATAGTGATCTCATTTATGACTTGTCAACGGATGGCTTATGAGACACTTTTTAGGCCCACAAAGGATAATTCATGGACATTTTATGACGATGTGTTGCTTGATTTAGATCTTTATGAGGATGATGTTAAAGAAAGGTGTGTCGTACTTGGAATATTATCGGAAGATACATGTCCAATTTTCTGGGCCCATAAACCTTCAAGATCACTGTTCTCTTTCATTCATAAATCAATGCATGAATTTATGGCAGCAGTGTGTATTGCTGTCAATTTCAAAAATAAACTTAGTTTATTAAATAATTTAGAAAATGTAGATTTGCAAAGTGAGTCCATGCAGTTTGTAGAGGATGTTTTCAAGAAACGTTCAACTTTAAATGACATACTAGAGGTGTCAAATGTTTTCATTTTTCTTTGTGGTCTAGAACCTAGATTAGCAACACATGTATGGAAATGCATATATGATATTTGTTTTAAAGATCCATGTGTTGAAGGGTATAGGAGAACAGTGGAAAATGATGATAGATGCGTCGTAGATCTGCAAGATCTTATTTTTAACTCGGTGGAAGAATGCAATGCAAGTGTTGTAGGAAGTCAACCTAGATTTTATCTGGGAGATTTGATTATTAATAGTAGGAATTTTGATATGGTTTGTTCAAGTATTGACCGGCAGCAAATAGCTCTTGAATCAGTTCTATCTCTAACTTTATCTATAGATGACTGTATAACATCTCGTAATGGTGACATTTTCAGGTATTTACCAATGTTCCAACACCTTGAAAAGATCAGCATAAAATCTGGACTAGTGGCACTTCAGCTATGTACACCAAGTACACCCGATAATGAACAAATTCTTCATGTGGTCAACAGTGCTGTTGCAGAAATGATGAAAGTGAATGTTTCAACATTAAAATCTTTGTCTGTTTGCGGTGCTCCTTTTACGACTATGTTTTATCCAGTGTGTAAAACTGTATTGTACTACCTACCTAGTATGATCAATCTTGAAGCAATAAAGATGTCACATATGACACTTAATCATGAACATGTTTCTTCCTTTTGCGAGTTTCTACAAGGAACCAGTCACCTTGAAGGAATATACTTATGTTTGTCTTGTGAGTGTGGGAACCAGCATGATGTAAATTTATCAAATCATCATCAGTTGAAGTACATTAACTACATCAATGACGTGTCTGTTGACAAACGTTGATGCCTCAAACCTTGAGGTATTTAAATTTAGTGGTTTGAAATACGACAACTATATGAATGTTTTCGGTTTAATTGGAACAGCTAGCAAATTAACAGAACTTGACTTATTTGCAGAATTTACCAATTCTGAACTATTTCATTCGGGTGTTACCAGCAAGCTGTGTACAGTGTTACCATTGTTACACAACCTTAATAGACTTCATTTAACACAGTGTCGGTTACATGACAATATAATCCAGCTTCCGTTAGAGATGAAGAGTTTGAAGCACATTAGTCTGTATGGTGTGATCATGAACCTGAGAACCTGGCGGAAGTTTGTTGACATTCTACCAGATGTTCCCCACACTGTGTCCGTGTCGACAGTTAATCTTTATATAGCTGGTGAAGGTGAGGAGATAACTCTGGACATAAATTTTACGGTTGTGAAAAGCAGGAAGAAAATTGATGCAATACAGTATTTATATAAACAGAAGAAATTATTTAAAGTGGTAAGAGATGATATGGCATGGTTGTCATTCTCAACAAAAAAGATAAAAAAGAAAGACAAGCACAGGCAGTGAATACAACATTATAGTAATTTTTATATTCCCCAAAGGGAGAGCATATACTCGTTGCTTTGTCCGTCTGCAAACATTTTGAAAGGTATTTTGACGTAACTGGACATTCAGTCCAGCAATCTTGGAAGAATCACTGGACTGCTTCAGTTTTCGTTAAAAAATCAGAATAAAATAGCGTAAAACACTTATTTCTTGTATTCGCAAAACTGATAATTTTCCAACCGGAAGTCAGTATTCGCTCATGTGCCATGACATAATAGGGTTTCTCGATTACTTTGTAACAGCAAATTTATTTATGAAAATTATTGATATGGAATACGCAATACTCGCACTTTGTTTGGGACATAGCTCTGAAACTATGAGAGATATCAACACTGTGACCAAGTTGAAAACCTATTCGTGGAGTATCATCCGGTTTCGACTTGCGCTTGTTGAAATTTAGAAGCAATTGAAGAAAAATGCGATCAGAGAATATAAGGAACAATCATTTAGTGGTTGAAATTTGCGCTAGACTCAGGGCCAAAAAGGGAGATTTTTTGTCAACTTATAAATTACTAATTTACATTAGAAAATTACTTACTAACCAACTTTGAATGACTTGCTTGTATTTTTAAATTGTGATATTTTGACTGTAATTATATATAGTGTATTCAGTGTTAGTGTATATTTCTCTCTTGTTCTTATTTTTAAGCTTGCCTTTTAAAAGATAAAAAGAAAAAAAAGAGGTATTGTTACAGTAATGGCTGCATTACCATACAGCAGTCTGCACACTTTAACTTTGATTTTAACTTTTTAAGTTCTTGATGTATTGCCTTCATACTGGCCACAATAACCCTTGAAACAAGACCTTCAAGTAGACAAGACTAAACTTGACCTTCATTCTTAAATGACATTGACCTTTAAGGTTAAATTAATGAAATTCTCATACTTTTTCCTATGGCTATGACATTTGGACCATGTGCACAGTTTTAGATGTAAAATTGAACTTTGATAATCAGCTGGTCTAGATAATTTGATAAATTGACCTACTTTCTTGTCCTTTGACATACAGCTATGAAATATGGACCATGTGCACAGTTTGATGTAAAATTGAACTTTGATAACAGCTGACCAAGATAATTTGACCAAGTGAACTACTTTCTTGTTCTTTCAGTGTACAGCTATGAAATTTTGACCATGTGCACAGTTTAAAATGTAAAATTGAACTTTGATATTGGCTGCTCTAGATTTTGATGAATTGACCTACTTTCTTGTCCTTTGATGTACAGCTATGAAATTTAGACAATGTGCACAGTTTCAGATATAGAATTTAACTTTGATATCACTTGACCTAGATTTTGATGAATTGACCTACTTTCTTGTCCTTTGATCTACTGCTATGAAAATTGGACCATGAGAACAGTTTCAAATCGAGGGTTAAGCGCAAGACTGTAGTAACTACCATTTTTTCTGAAAATGACTTTTTTTTAATTTCCTGTATTATTTGGTATTTTACATCATGTGGTAATTTTTTTTGTTTTTATTTTACTTCATTTCATAATTTTTTTATAAATACTTTACTGTAGTAACTCAAAAGATAAAGATATTTTACTGCAAAACTGTTGTAACTGGACTTACTACAGTTTTGCACTTAAAAATAAATGAATTTTTTCTTTCATTTCAATGCAAGACTGTAGTAACTGTGTAGTTACTACAGTCTTGCACTGAAAATAATATTTTTTGCCCTTACATTTTCATGTAAGGCTGAAGTAACTCACAAGGCAATACATTATGATATCATCAATGATCACATTTTAAAGGAGGATGACACTACACATGTATATCTATATATCATTCTATATTTTAGCAACATTTTTTGTCTGTGTATTTCAAAACTGCAAATGAATATGGAGTTTTCAGTTGAAATCTTAAGGCCTAAACAGACGGTAGGATTTAGTTGTACAGCACTAATAAGAGATAAGACGTACAGTTTTCAAAGCTATACAACACTTGCATTCAGACGGTATTTCTAAACTGTAGGAATCATCTGAGGTTTCCCCTATAAAGGATCCCCTTACAATGATCCTTTACACACTTTACTCAGTAAATACTTTTTTCGCCATGAGTAATGATTGAAACACCTTCATTTATATATATATATTATATTTTTAATGTGAAGCCTGACCGAGACTCAAACCTGGGACCCCCGGAATACCGTAGTGCGGCTCTGCTGACTAAGCTATCTGGCTGCCTACAAACTACCTCCCCTTCTCTAATTAGAGAACAATTCAATACCGTGACATAATCATTTTCGGAATAATTTGGGATTCGAACATAACACAACTTTGGGTCTCCTGAAAAGTTTTTCAATGTAATTTTTACCCCATCTTACTACTATGTTTACATCTTAGCCCTTATTGTTCTGGAATTTCATTCAGTACACCCATTATCAGGAGATAATTTGGTTATCTGTTACTTGTCATTGTTGGAGGTCTGTAAAAATCGGTAGGACAAGATTTTCAAAATAGAACATGTCCTATCCCTTACATCTAGACATAAGGTTTCGGAAATCAAGAAATAGTAGCCTTCACACATTAAGATTTGTCTGTACATCTTAGTTTTAATTGGTGTTGTACTTCAAAATCCTACCGTCTGTTGAGGCCTTTAGATGTTTCATGGGTTTAACAGTTATACATGTATAAGTAAACCCTTCATTTATATCAGAAGTGGAAGTTATATGTTGTTCTAAATAAGGAAAAAAAAAATTATCTACAGTAAAAAATGCCCCACCTCTGTATTGTTTACTGTATTAGCCAGTTATCAATGCTTTACTTTTGGCAAGTATTGTTTGGCAATATTGACTCATTAATTTTTGGAAGCTTTTTCTTGACTTTTGTAATTTCTTATGATTTTATTATTGTTTTTAATGAAACGAAAGTTGTCGATACTTCATTTTATATTAACGTTCCAATGGTCAAGTGTTTTCGCAAAGTTGCAAGTTCGAATTTTTCAAAAACTTTTTGAAAAGTTTCTTTTATATGCAGTATTAATGAATGAATCATTTCATTGATTTCTTATGTCTTTTCTTTTAAAGAAAATCATAACTTTGATATATAGATGTATATTTATAAAGTTTCATAATTTGAATTTGTACAGTTGTACAATGTTTGATTTGGCATACGCAAAAACTTGAGTTTCACAAAATATGATAAAAAGCAACATAAAAAAAACCATAAAAACATATTGTTTCATTAAGATTTGAACCTACAACCTCCACTTTGAAACCAAGTGTCTTAACTCCTTATCATAGAGGCTAGTTTGGCAAGTGTTGTTTTGGTAACTTTAAGTTATACATAAACCATGTATACTGTTATGCCATACTTTAAAATCTATATGATATACTTCGGAATCCGACAATTATGGACAAAAGGTAAACTGAATATTCAAATGTCTAAGTCAAAACTGCCATAGTGACCCACTGTATTCAGTAACTTTCTGTCTTATGTTACCATGTTCAATCTGCTCAACAATTTCGACTAAACAATTGCACTGTATTAAGCTACTCACTGTGTTATGTGTCTATAGCATCCATGATTTGTACGGTCTGGAAGGTGCATATCACTGTTTTTTTAATCTAGACTGAATGTGATAAATATAACCTTCAACTAGTGCCTTGGGTTATATTTATGTCAGCAAGGCTATATCACAGTGTGTAAACAAAATCACTATCATTTATTGCAATTCCATATTATTTAATGTGTATGTTTTTTGCGAGCACAAATGCCTGTTATTTACTGGAAGTAGGTACATTTATCCAGTGTGTATATTATTATTTATAAAAATTTACTGCCAGATATATGGGATAATATTATATGAGATAAATAATTGACCCAATATGCCAGTAAAGGCTAAATTCTTCTATGTATCCAGTCAGCAACATGTATAACAAATTTATTATTATGCAAATTGTTTTTGATGACAAGTTTATAAGAAAATCCAGAAATTCAAGTATATAAAGTCATCATAAGAAGGTGTAATTCTTTTGTTTGAAGTAATGACATTTGAACCGAGAAATATACGATAAAGAATAATATGCAATAACAAATTTTTAGCACAAGAAGTTAATTGTCTACAATTTTGAAATACGTTGTTTTTTGTGTTCACTTCGGTTCTTCATGGTATATATGGCATCATATTACAAAGTGTTTTGGTCATTCATAATTCAAGAAATTTATTTGCATTATTACAATCTCCCATACATTCATACAAGTGATCAACTTGTTCTACTTAGCTTTAGAAAGATGATGATCTAAGAGAACTATCATATAGACTTTGGTTCAGTACAAAAGAACCAGTACTTCCATGAAATACAGTAGAACTTCGGTAAGTCGAAGTTGAAAGGACAGCGAAAAAACTTAAAACACATCGTGACTTTGACTCATAAATCAATCTTAATTTAATAAAAAAAAATTCAAGCCGTTCACGTTTACAAGCAAGTTACAAAAGGCTTAACAAAAAGAAAGCCTGATTATAGTAAATATTACTTGTGTGATTATCACCAACATGACCGGTCACAGAATTTCTCAAATGAAAGTAGTTATTACTGTTTACGTTCAAATACCACTACGACAATTTGAATGATGACAATTAAACGCATACTAAGGTTGTTCGAGCAAACGGTTGTGTAATTTACACATGTCACACAATTTGATTGGAAATCATCTTCTAGAAGTTCTACAGTAGCTCTTTAATAACTGATTGCTTCTAGCAGATATGTATACAAATGATAACAAAAATAAATATATCGTTTATGTCAAAATAAATTTCGCCTTAATGTTTTCCCTTAAAAGGGTTATACATTTTTATGTGGTACAATTTCCATAACATGGTTTGTTAAATAATATATAAACATGTTTGTGTTGAAAAAAATAGATGAACTTAGAGAATTTCAAGTTTGTATTAAAAAATTAACTTTTGTTAGTGATGCAGTATCAGAGGTACATAGGCAAAATGACTACAGTCAGTATTTCTTGTTTCAGAAAAAAATTGGATTTTTGTTAATTATGTCCTACATAGCTTCAATACATAAATTAAGAAAGTACCATGAATGTCTATAATCATACGTGTGACTGCTGCACAGAATAATGTTCTATTTACATCACAATTAATATAAATAATGAAAACCATCTCCCTGAACCCTCACCCCTTTGTTACAATGATGTTAAAGATTAAAGGTAACTTTAAACACTATCATTTATCTTATTTCAATTATTATTAATTGAGTTACTACAGTGTTGCAATTAATATTGTAAATAGATGCCCTCATTTTGTGCATGTTATACTGTAGTAAGTCTAGTTACTACTGTCTTGCACTCAGAATAATTTTTAAAATATTACCATTTGAGTGCAAGAGTGTAGTAACTCAGCACAGTCCAAATATCTAAGAAAGGAAAAAAGATTAACATTGTTTTGTTAATTCATTTGCTTTCTTCTACACTTACTTTTCATATTCTAAGAAATCTTAAGAAATGATTGAATATCATTTAAAACAGAATGTTTTTTGCCTCTCTTGTAAAATTTACAAATATACAGTTACTACAGTCTTGCGCTAAACCCTCGAAATGAAAAATTGATCATTGGACATTATGGTAATGATTCATACTTGGACAAAACAACAAGTGGGAC